TAGAGAGAGAGAGAGAGAGAGAGAGAGAGAGAGAGAGAAATAGCTGTCAAAGTGGGGCTGGGGCCCGTGGGCCAACCCAACCCACCTTGAAAACGGGCCGGGCTGGGCAAAAAAAAAATGAAGTTTTATAGTAGGTAAATATATCTCAACCGGCCCACTTTCACTCGGCCCACCCGGGCTGAACCCATGGTGGGCCGAGTAGTCCACCAATCCACCAATTTTTTTTGCAATAAAAATTTAAGTATAATTTGTAATTAATTTTGTATGATGGGATATTGAAAATTTTTTATTTTGGACTTTTATCATTATTTGTATTTAATTTTCTATGATGAGTTATGACTTATGGTTATTAATGATGCTAATTTTATGATTATTATGTTAATTTATAATTAATTTAAATTTTAAAATTTTTGGTGAGCTGGTGGGCTGGCCCTTATAACCACCAACCCGTGGTGGGCCGAGCCGGGCCAATTTTTTTTTTGTTGAGAAAATCAAAAGTAGACTGGGTTGGGTTGACTCGTTTTTAAAGTGAGTCAAGGTAGGTTGGCCCACATGAGCTAAGCTAGCCCATTTTGACAACTATATATATGTGTGTGTGTGTATGTGTGTGCGTGCATAATTTTTTATAGGTAATTTTAGTTATTTAGTTGTTATATACACTTAAATTTATATGAACCGTCTTATGTTTGTAGGTATTATGTCTTGTTATGAATTTTTCACGATGCATATAATTTACATTTTTTTTGTTAAATATATAATTTATATCTTTTTCTCGCAAATTTCAAAAATTTCAGTACCTTTGCCCCCCTAGGCAATTCTACCTGAGTCACACATTCTGGAAAAGCAGACACAAAATAAGGACGCTCATTTCGACCTACCTCAAAACTGTGCCTGTTTAATACCCTTTCTACAATTTGATCTAGGTTTTCATCAAGGTTCCTATTGGGTCGACCTAAGTTCTGGGGAAAAACTACATTCCCTCCTTGATTTTCCATATCGTTTAAATTCGCACTCATGGCTCTCGAAGGTGGACTATCTCCCAGTTTATCTCCTATTTTATTTATTAACTCATACAAAGGGGTCATTATATTATGCATCTGAGTTGACAACAAATTAACAATGTCATGATTACTATGGTCCATCTGTTATCGAAGGGCCATCATGGCTTGATTACTAATACCTGTGGGGACATAACTACTCTGTCGAACCAGAGACCCTTCATGACTTGTCCCTACATGTTAATACGGGTCTTGCATAACAAATCCCAATCTATTTGGTCCGGGATTATATCCCTGTGGGGATACGTGCATTTGTGAATTTGGTCCCGGCACTAGCATTTCAACATGTATAGGTTGAGTAGTTCGCCAATTTGGCGGCATACCCCATGGATATTCTCTAGTGGCGTTCGCGAAATCTTGTGATACATTTGTTTGCCTAGCCACATTTTCGATCAGGGGGTGATGTTGTCCCCCTTGTCAT